AAGGGTTAATAGTTTGGGTCATGCAGAACTGGTCTGATCGTTTCCATAGCAATGAACAGAAGCAAGACATTCACCAGAACTATGACATCATCATCTATGACATCATCATCTATGACATGCGATTCTAGATCAAAGAACACCTCAGGTTATGAATGCTTCTGTTTCAAAACACCAGTTCATATCCAACCAACTCTTCGGACCTTACCACTGCTTTTTCAGAAGGATTTCCAGAATGGCAGAAATTTTTCTTGGCTTATGTTTTCCCATCGGTTTTGGCGTTGGGTACATCGTAACAACTGCAATGAAAAAATTGTGTGACAAGTTATGGCCGGGTACAGAAGATGTAAGAGATAGGTATCAGGACATCACCACTTCGTCGACATATGACGTCTTTGATCATTTTCTTTTCACTCCTTCCTTGCCTTCCTCAACTGAGAAGCAAACCTCCCCAGCTGGGGAGGTTTGCTTCTCAGCTTATGATGACTTTGATTCTTTTCTTTTTAATCCTTCTCCTACTGAGAAGCAAACCTCCCCGGCTGGGGAGGCTTGCTTCTCAGTAGGAGAAGCAAGCCTTTTTTTTTATGCTTTTTTTCCCGATCAGTCCCCGATAGACAATCAAACCTCCCCGGCTGGGGAGGTTTGCTTCTCAGCTTATGATGACTTTGATTCTTTTCTTTTTAATCCTTCTCCTACTGAGAAGCAAACCTCCCCGGCTGGGGAGGCTTGCTTCTCAGTAGGAGAAGCAAGCCTTCTTTTTTATGCTTTTTTTCCCGATCAGTCCCCGACAGACAATCAAACCTCCCCGGCTGGGGAGGTTTGCTTCCCAGGTGAAGACATTTTAGATTCTTCTCCTTTCAATGTGTCCCTGACTGAGAAGCAAACTTCCCCGGCTGGGGAAGTTTGCCGTCATGCATTTGGTGCCGGTATGCATGAAGAAAGCACAGGCCCAGGGAATGATCTATCCGAACTTCTAGAAGAACAAAGTTGCCTGCCTGAAGAAGACTCTGCTGCAAACAAAACAGCAAGAAATGAGGATGAAATCATTACCACCAAGGAAAGTTGGTTTTCTCTTTTAAAAGGCTACGTATGGGAATCAATGTTGTTACTGTTATTTTATTTGCCTTTATTCGTCATTCCTTGGGTGATTATATATTATTATGAGTTTTTATTTTTTCTTTCTATTTTTCTTTTTGTCGTCTTATATATAGCAATGGCCATTTGACTCAGGTGTGTTGAAGTAGAGATACATCCAAAAGTTGCAGGAGACCCTCGAGGACCTGGAGTCCATACCCCTGTCCTAGACGATAAGGTGGGAAAACAAAATGAATGGATCATCAAGCAGAAATGAAGAACGTCTTTCTAAAAATAATGAGAAAAAATAACCAATGAACTAAGTCTTATTTTTATGACACTGAACTTGAAAGTAAAGATGAAAGTCTCTCCTGGAATACTTTACATGTTTGAACAGAAAAACTTAGTTTGTATTTTCAAACTTCTCGTCATCTTTCTGCCGAATTTGACCAGTTATTGCGTAACGTTTTCTCCGTGACATTCGCTCCCTGACAGTTTCAGATTGTGAAAACTGTGGGTGCGAGTCGCTGGAGGATGCTACGGCCGGGCTTTAACCTCATGCACACATTCGTATTGATCCATACAAGCCTCAGTGACTGTTGCTACAGAGCGGCCTGCCCTTATCATCCAGATCCCCCCCTCTGTCACCAGCCAGTGGTGGCTAACAAGGAGCAACACACACACACCCTAACACACACACCAGTCCTGCCTCCATCTTCACCCTCCCTCTTTTTCTTTTTCTTTTTTTTTTTTGCTCTCCCTCTTTCTCTACCTCACTTTTCCTCTAATGAGTTGCAACACTGATAACGAGCCTGATGATCTTCCATTGATTCAGCTATCACTTGCTTGTCTGGTAATTGATCCGTAGCTGAGCCTCTAGTTAATTATATGGGCTTCGACATGGACCCCTGCCCCACGGGGAATTCTCAAGTCCTGCACAATAATAGTTTTAATAAAGGAGCCTGAGAATCTCTAGGATCCTCTATATTTCTGCAGCTAATACAGATTTTTCATCATTCTGTTTCCACTCCAATTTTTTTTCCCTCCTCCTCCCGCTAGTAGCTGCTATCAGAGAGAAAAAGGGGGAAAAAGTGTGAGAGAAATGAGGAGGAAGAGTGAGCTCTATTGGCAGAGTCCACTCCTCCCTCCCACAAATAACAGCCATTAAGCAGCCGGGTCAGAAGCTGAGCCACCAGCTTGACTTGAAACACTGAGTGCCACTTGAAAAACCCACAGACTAGCACATTTACAGCCGAGGGGAAGGGAGAGGGAGCGGGGGAAAAGTCTGGAGAGGGGGAAAAAAAGCAACCTTGGCGGCTAAATTGTCACTTAATAGAATTAGCCTGAGCCTCATGCATTATGTTTTCAATAAGTTGTTAAGAGTAAAGCTGCACGTCGAAGGGGTGATACATTAAGTATTTTATGATGGTGGCTGCTGACAGCTCATAAAATAAGACGGGGAGATAAAAGTAGAGATGCTTTTTTTCCTGGATAAAACAGAAATCTGTGTGTGCAAAGCTGCACGGCGACATCTTCCAGTAAAGATGGAGGCTGATGTTGGCGACAGATCTGATCCTGGGCACATAGAAAAACACCCGATTTTTATCCATTTGTAAAAATGCACTAAAGTATAAACTGTTAGATGAAATCTTATCGACTTAAACTTGAGAGGCCTTATCAAACAAACTTTTTGTCTAAGTGATCAATCAGTCAAATTTATTTGTACATCACATTTCAGCAACAAGGAATCTCAAAGTGTTTCAAATCATAAAAACATAGAAAATGATGCATACAGTCACCAACTGAAAAACCAGTAACAAACATTACATTTTGATATAGTCCATCATCAAAACGCATCAAATGTTTTTATGGTTCACAAGCAACTCTAAGAATTTAAATTATGTCGTCAAGTACAAATTAATGTTTATCCAACGTGTTAAAAATGTTTAGAAAAATTATGTTTTTCAGTCAGAGATCCACAAAATGAGCAAAAATCAGTTCATGTTAAATGTTTTGTATGTTATGCAACTGTGTGTTGATATATTGGTGGGACTGCAATTAATTATTTAAAAACATCACAAAATAAGCAACAATTTCAATTCTAAACCCTTTTTGCTGCTACATTGTTGAATAAACAAACATTTTGCATCAGATTGGTGAAACGTGTTTTTCATTCAGCTTTCAAATGTCTCATGTAGCTTCATGCTAAAAATGCATCTTTAGAAATGTTTGCACTCTTGTTAGCTTTGGGCACATCTGTGCTGCTTTAGCATCTTTAGCTCTAAGATGCTATTTTAGCTTTAAATAGCTGATATGCTAACTTCTCCTAGCACAACTTGAACACAACAAAAGTCCAATCAGATCATCTATTGCTGTCAGCCGATGTCAAGTGTGTGTCAAATTTACGGCTGTACCAGAAACAAGCAGCAAAAGAAGTTCCCTCTGAAACCTTTGTATGTAAAAATATAACAATTAAAGGGATTAATTGCATCAAACTTTAAGTAATTAATTAAATTGAATCCATAAATATTCACATAGTTCCATTGATTCCCAGGATGAAAGAAGTTGCGTTACATGAAAAGCCTGATTTGACGGTATCAAGAGAAAATTGTCCGATTCCGATCTGTGGTCGATTGGTTGATTGATGGATTGATCGATCATCTCCAGACAAGAGGAGAGCGACAGCGATGAAGGCAGGACAGGAGGAGAAAATGGACTTAAGGTGTAAATTAAACCTGCTTGACAAAAAGACAAGAAGACACATTCTGCACTTTTCTCTCGTGTTCGTGGCTGAAACGACGGGTGTGATAATCTCAGCAAAGGTTAACTCTGCTCTGCCATTAGTGGCTGCTGCTACAAAAGGCTTTTAACAGACAGCCAGGCAGCTGTCTGCAGCAATTTAGCACAAAATCTGAAGTGACTCTATAGATCAGAGGCCGTTTAATGCAGCTGGCAAGAGAAGTTCTCCGTCTGTCCCTCTGTGCTGCTGATCTGCCGTGGAAAGATCGCGGTGACACCTCCGTGGAACCCGAACCTGCCCCGTCATTTCTCTAATGACGGCCTGATTGTGAGGAAAGGAGGAGCAGGAGGCTGTAGATGAGGGAGGGTGTCTTCATTGTTTGAGATGCTGTGTCAAAGGAAATTTTCCCCCTTCTTCTTCTATCCTCCTGTGTCTCTTTTTCTCCGTGTCTGTCTCCTTCTTCTCCTCCATCCCTCATTTTATTCCCACACCTTTGCTGCTGTGGGGACCAATTTGGCTAAAATGGAACCTCTTCCTCATTTTTTTCTTAATTAAAATCTGAGCGCCTCCACGGAGCAGCAGGAGGAGGAAGAGGAGGAGGAGGAGGAGATGGTGGCAGATTGCTGCTGTTTCCATTAGTCCTTCATTAGAACTGCTGGAAATCAAACAAAGGCTGCGGAGTTTTTAATGACAACTGGAGAAACCTGTGTGTGTGTGTGTGTGTGTGTGTGTGTGTGTGTGTGTGTGTGTGTGTGTGTGTGTGTGTGTGTGTGTGTGTGTGTGTGTGCGTGTGTGTGTGTGTGTGTGTGTGTGTGTGTGTGTGTGTGTGCGTGTATGTGAGATGCCACATCGTTTGCATGAACAGCTTTTAAATACAGAAAATGCTGACTAGAAATAATTACTTTTTTGTGGCGCCCCCAATAGCGCAGCGCCCCAGTGCGTGCATGTCGAGAAACCCGTTTTTTTTCTTTTCCTTTTCGTGGCGGAGGACAACCAAGTTGCTGCCGGCCACTCGCGGCAGCCCACATGGTAATAAGGCAGGGGGACACACAGCTAACTCCCCTTCCTCCTCCTCCTCCTCTTCCTCACTGCCCCCACCTCCCGGCCCGAGCAGAGGAGGGCTGTCCGCGCCGGGGAAGTGAGCAGCGCAGTGTCACTGAGCATCTCAGCGGCACAGTTGAGAATCACCGGCCCCGACACACACTCAGATCTCTCTCTCTCCCACATTGCTCTCTCGCGCTCACACACACACAGGCGCGCGCCCACACACACACACACACACACACACACACACTCACACACTCCGAGGCGCTCGGCTCAGATCCTCCGTGGCTGCGGTGGAGTACAGAGGAGTAAGACAGACAGAGAGAGAGAAAGAGAGGGAGAGAGAGAGGGAAAGAGGGAGAGAGGGAGAGGACAGGCAGCGCGCGGACGTCAGGAGAGGGACGGAGTCACTCAGAGAGGAAGAGACGGAGGCAGGGAGAGGAGCGGGATAGCTGGTGGCTCACACTCACTCCTCATCCTCACTTTTTCCCGGGACGGCCGCTGGTTTCATGGTAAGACGCGCGACTCCGCTTCGGCTCAAACTCCCCAACTTCAGGCTCAGATTTTGTACTTTTAAGTAACTTTCCGGTTTGCATGTGTCGAGTTCTGATTTCCAACTTTTTTTGTTCCTTTTTGGTTGGAATATTTGGCAGGTAATCTGTGTTCTGTCCACACACACACACACACACACACACACACACACACACACACACACACACACACACACACACACTCTCTCTCTCTCTCTCTCACAAACACACACTCTCTCTCTCCACCTTTTATTTTTGTTTTCCTCATTCTTGCTCAGCTTTTCATCAGCCCCTCCATCCCTCTCTCCAACCTCCTCACCTCCACTCATCATCCTCCTTCTCCTCCCCCAAGATGAGGAGGCCCCTGAGGAGATTCACCCTCTTTTCTCAAACACACACTTCTCCTCAAAAAGAAGAAAAAACTCAAAGACAACACGACCCCAAAAGAACCCACCTTCGCTGACTTATTTTTCTTCTCTCCTCCTTCACACTCGTCCCTCCCTCCCTCCCTCCCTTCCTTCCTCCTGTCCTCCCTCTCTCCCTCTTTCTGTCCAAGTCCAAGGAGGCAGAGTTGGATGTGAGAAGCAGCGAGTGCGACCCAGTCCCAGCAGAGCCCAGCAGAGATCCGGAGTCGCCCAGGCCGCCCCCTCCTCCTCCTCCTCCTCCGGGTCAGGTTAACCAACCCACCGGCGGTCAGAGCATCCCGTCCAGCAGCAGGACTCACCCCAGCCTCAGCAGCAGCAGCAGCAGCGGCGGTGGTGGTGGTGTTGGTGGTCAGGGTGGTGTTAGCATTGTTAGCAGTGCTGAGGGAGCAGGCAGCTCCATGCAGTTCAGCACCAGACCGCCTAGCGCCGAGCAGCCGGGCTTCATGGGGACATGGCAGCAGCAGAGCACTGACAGCAACCTCCTCTACAGAATGTCCCAGCAGGTACGTCCGCTGTGGTCCTGGAGGGAACGTTCATTTTTCCATCCCTCCGTGTGCGTGTGTGTGTGTGTGTGTGTGTGTGTGTGTGTGTGTGTGTGTGTGTGTGTGTGTGTGTGTGTGTGTGTGTGTGTGTGTGTGTGTGTGTGTGTTTACATGTTATCTTCCGCTTTTTGCTCCTGGAAAGTGTTGGATCTTAAATCAGTGCTGAAAGTATTTATTTTATTTCCTGCTGAATGCATGAACTTCTTTTATTTTATTTCATTCTCTAAATATATTTTAAGTAAACTAAACAATATGTAGGAAATAAATCCGATTCCCGTCGCTTCCAAAGTCTCCATCAGTTGCGGAGTTTCTGTCCGGGTCTCGGAGCTGCAGCAGCTCCAGCAGCAGCTCCAGCAGCTGCAGCAGCTCCGCCAGGTTCCCCCTCTGCCACCGGCTGCTCACCTTCCTGCGGCCGGCTCCAGGTGCTCCCGATCCGGACCGGCTCGTTTCTGCCTCTCGCTCCTCTGCTGCCTTAATTTATATATTCCCCTCCAGGTGTAAACCTGCAGCCAGAGCTGGAGTTGTTTTTAACTCATTTTGGATTAAAAAAAAAACATTTGAGGCAAGAAGGGAGGAGAGGAACGAGGGGAAAAGTGAGTGCGCGCGCGCGGGTGTGTGTTTGTGCGCCTCAGTTGTCGCGCACGCGCGTGAGGGGGAGCCGGTGAGGGTCGTGCGCGCCTGTTCGGGTTGCAGTTAATCACTGCGGGACCTGCAGGCTCCGCCGTACCAAGCGCGCGCTGTTACGCACCGCTGCGGTTCTTGCGCAACAGCTTCTGCGTTGGAAATAAATAAACTTTTTATTTAATCCTCTGGCTTTTTTTAAAGCCTCGCAACGATCAATCAGGAATAAAATAATTCCTCCACTGTTTTATCAGTCTGATCACTGGAATTAATGCTGGGATTTCACCAATATTCAGTTTTAAATTACTTCCCAACCTCCAGACGTATGAATTAAATTGTTTATCTATATATAAGGAAGTGTGAGTGGCACAGCCTGTTGTCCCGCATTCTGCCGGTGTGAGCAGGTGGATGGGCCCCTGCGCTCGCATCTGCTGGGACCCCCCTCTTCCTCCACAAACGCGCATCGTTGTTTCAATGTAATCAGCTGTGGGACTCGCTGTTATTTATCCTTCCGCGCATCACTTAGAAGATATCCTGACATAAATTCTCCGAAGGAAGCTCGTTCCTTGACAGACTCGCCTTATTGGAATCTAAGCGATAATGACTTTGTGTTTGCGGAGCCTGGCGCACCCCTGGGGTGTCCGGGCGGAGAGAGAGAGAGGAAGAGAGAGAGAGAGAGGGAGAGAGAGAGAGAACCTGTAAAGAAGAGCCGGGTGGCGCGGGGTTTTATAGTTCGTTAGGCCGGATTAGATGTGATCGATACGCAGGAAGAAGTCGGCGCAACGCGGTGAGTTCAGGAGAGACGCGGCTGCGCCAGAAATCCAAACATCTGGCAGGACTTCTCCAGATATGTGACAAGACAGGAGAAGGAGAAATGTTACTTCGATGTGTGAATTAGAAAAAATAAAAAATCATCGATCCTTCCTGTAGTTTGCAGCAGGTGCCAGATCATCCCATCTTTTAATCACTAATCGATAAGTCTCTTTTCACTTTACTTTTTTCATCTCGCGGCTTCACAGCGCAAACCTCCAACCGACAGGAGAAAATATGAGGTTTTATTTCATTTTTAAATTCTATGACAGTTAAGTGCAAATATTGTTTATGTTTTCTTTTTATATTATAGGTAATATTTATTTAAAGAACATTTGACACAAAATCGGTGTGTTGTAAAAACCAAGCAAAATAAAAAAAAACAGGAAGAATATTTATTCTTGTGTTTTTTATCCCATCCACCTGCATTACTTTAAAAATAGTTTTTAATTTATTATTTTGTATATTTTGTGCGTGAAACCCGGATGAAGCTCCGCACTGAGGAATCTTCTGAAATGAGAATAATTAATATGTGCAGCTCAAGGCCTCGGTGAGGTTTTTAAATGGTTTTTTAAAGCAGGAAATAAACATCCCCCGCAATCTAAATACCAAAACGCAGAAACAACGAGCAGTTTGAAAAAAATCAATTAAACGGACTCGATAAATGCTGCCTGGTTTATGAGCTTTGTTCTGACATCTGTGCGCATTTTACGCAGCAAAATAAACTTTCATATTTGTTTCACCTCACAGAAGAATTACAGAAATTTGCTGTGAGTTTAATTATTTCCCAGGCATTACGGAGAGATGATATTCGGAGCCCTAATTGACCCGCAACATGCGTGGTTCTGAATATCGAGCCCTGCACGTTAGAAACTCCGCAGTTAAGCGCCACCACGGGCCTAATTGGCTCATCAGGGATGTTTCCTCAGCAACGCAGCAGCCGGAGGCCGCGTCGCTTTTGCTTTTTTTTTTTTTTTTTTTTTTGTTTAGGATCGGAGAAAACGTGGGAACCAGCACCAGGCTTCAAGGGGCTCGTAAAAAATGCGCCTTCACCTCCAACCTGCGGGTCTGGAGATGCCACACAGGCGCGCCGCGCGTTTCCGTCAGAACAACAAAAAACAAAATACAATAAAAATTCAGTGCTTGTTCTGAGTCTAAAACTAAATCTAAAATAGAGTTTCTTTTTTTATTTTCATTTTTTTGAAAGGGTGCAGTAACGCGGCTTCCTTTGAAGGGCGACAGGTCGACAATGGGCCGAGACCTGGAAGAGGTACAGTGGCACCAGAATTTACTCCTGTCTGCTTCCACCAGACTCACACTGAGAAACACAGCAGCTCCACTTAATGCAAGCAGAGAAAATACAAACGTTTTTAATGTAATTATTATAATTTACTGCAGACTTCTCTGTGTGCATTTCTCACTTCAGCTGTTAAATTTAAGGTAAAACAATTCACTTCCTTCTTGTCTGGAAACATTTTTATTTTGCTAATTTGAAAATAGTAAAAAAAAGTTGAAAATATTTGCCTGATTAAAATCTTATAATTTTAATCAATTTCTTGCTCATATCAATATTTTTTAACTGCTTAGATTTTTGCTTTCTTTTGTTTTAAATTACAGCCCTTGACTTTCAGAGCTCATTCGCTCCCACCTGTCTTTTCCTCCTTAAGTTGTCTTGTGTCACCATTTTTTCTGCTTCTCAGACGTGGGTTTTAGCCGCGTTTTGCTCCGCTTGCTGTGTGTTTTCTGAGTGAGAGCATTAATCGCTCTTTAGGGCGTGATGACAGACGTATTTGTGGAAAAGCTCTGCTTTGTTTTGTCTGAGGAAAGAAGCAAGGAGGATAATATCCTCTTCAGCACAGATCACAGTGCAAACTAATCTGCCTATTAACACCCTAATAGACTTATAGCTGCACGTCTGTGTGAAATTGTGTGTGTGTGTGTGTGTGTGTGTGTGTGTGTGTGTGTGTGTGTGTGTGTGTGTGTGTGTGTGTGTGTGTGTGTGTGTGTGTGTGTGTGTGTGTGTGTGTGTATGAGAGCAGCTTGTTTTACAGTGTTCGGTACAGGAGTGCTGCATGTTGCTTATGCATTGCTGTTTTCCTGCAGAGCTGGCCTCAGAAGGCAGTGATTTGATGCATATGTGCAGAATTATCCACAGTGAGTGAACGCGCGTGTGTGTGTGTGTGCACACGTGTGTGTGGTTACATTCGACTGTTATTATTTCCATGTCTGTCTTTGATGGGTCGTTGCACACGAAGCATATGGATGTCTATACGTGCGCGCATCTGGTGTCAAGGCGTTCGTGTCTCCGCTTCTGCCATTTATTTTTCTGAGTGGGTGGCTCAACAGTCAGATGGCAGTGGTGTGTGTGTGTGCGTGTGTGTGTGTGTGCGTGTGCGCATGCTGGAGGATGCATGTGTGTTGGCTCAGGCTCCATGTGTGCGCGGGTGCGAGGTGAAGTGTCTCTTGGCTGGCCTGATGGAGAGCTGGAGGAGAGCAGAGGTGAAAGAGGAGATTTGCAGGAAAGACATGCACCACTTCCCCCATTACTACTCCTTCTTTTTCTTCTGTCTCTCACCGCGTCTTCTTCTTCTTTTGCATCTCAAATACAAAACCCCCCAGAACTTAAGTGCAAAATAACCCTGGGATGAGAATCCTCTCTGCAGAAAGAGAAATGATTTCTGTTCTGTTGTTTTTAGAAGCACATACTGACAGCAGAAAGGAAGCTGGTGACTGTTTGCTCTGGCACCTGATGAGAAACGCCGTCTTAGCAGCATCTTCCATTTATGCACCATTTGAATCTGACTGCAAGATTCTCATGCAAAAACACAAACTCTTACCACATATTTCTGGTCTAGTTAGTGGTGCAAATATCTGTGTACACCTGAAATAAGACAAAACTAACTTAAGTTAAAGTAGCATTTTATTAAAATATTGTTTTAAATCAATTAAAAAGTTCAAGTTCCACTGACAGATTATTTCACTTATAACTAAACATTTTTCTCATATTATAAGTGACATAATCAGTGTAACTAAAACTTTTTCATCAATATTAAATAATTATTAACTTAAAATAAGTTCCACAAGTTTGATGTGTCATATCTCACTTGGTTAGATTTTGTGTTTTTGCATATTTGAAGCAAAATGAAGCCAAATTAATTACCCATTATGTTAAAATGCTGTAAACTTACAACAAAAATGTAATTATTTTATTAAAAATGTTCAAAAATAGAAAATATGAACTATAAACGAGGCATGCTAGTGAGAGGTTCAAATCTGCATTTCAAATGATAAGAAAATCTAATTTTGCTGAGAATTTCCTGCATTTTTAGCGTAGAAGTGCATCAACCAACACCACAAGCTCTGCAGACATTTGCTCTAGAAACTCGAGACTTGTTAAGATGTTGTGTTTTTTCAGTGCAATATGTGCCCTATTAAGAAGCCACCAAGCTTAAGGAAAGCGAAGGATGCACAAAGTCCCATTCATGGTGTGTTTAGCCAGGCACCAGCTACAGCGAAACTTTACCCTGTAAATGCACCATTGCTGTCCTTCGTTTAAACTCCCATTAAAGAATAAGAAGCGTCTCTTCTTCTTGGTTATATATCCTGATCATGTGCATTTTGGGGTCGTGCTGCAGCCTCTGCAGTTGTGCAGCGATGCCCTGCAGGACGGGTGAGCGCTGACCCCAGCTCTGCGTGTGAGACCCGGGGGCAAACAGCGATCAATATGCATCATGTGAGCTGCGCTGCAGGGCTGCGTGTCAGCTGTTTCCTGTTTGTCCCGAGGAGACGCGCGGCTGCGGCCGCCGAGATGCACTGATGCATTCCTGAGAGTCAGGAGCGTCGTCTCAGCAGCAGCGTTGCTTCGTCTGAGCTTCACTCCTGCAGGTTTCAGAAGCAACGTTTGTTCTTTATGTAAAGATGCACCGATTAATCAGACAGTTTTACCTTCTGATCAGTTCTGATCGGTGGTTGGTGTGTTAAAAGTGGAAAAATCAGAAATTCTGCTAATTGTTACATGCATCAAAGCTAAGAAATCCCAGCCTTTTCAGTCAATAAATGCATCATCCAACAGCAGGAGCTTCTCTGATTGAAGCCTGGTTCCCTTTTCTCCTTTAAAAATCAGCATTTGACTAAAAAGTCATTTTCAAGACCCTGAACAGAAACAAAGATTAAAAATAACGACAATAGCAACTACAAACAATCAAGAATTATTACACATTAAAAGCAAAAATGTTTTTTTAGTAATAGTGATAATAAACTTTATTACTATAAACATCACAATCTGATGCGCTGTACCAGATTGTAGCTAATTTGCTTAACAGAAACGTGTATATAACACAATTAAAATTAAAACTGAAACTATAACACATACAGTCCTGACAACATGCAGTTCATTTTTACAAATCTAAACAGTTTTTAACAAAATGTTCAAGTTAGATTTGAAAACTACTCACATCTGGTTTTCTTAACCTTTGCAAACAAACAATAAAACAATCAGAATCAGCAGCTGAGAGCAGAAAAGCCTGATTGGTGAAAAATCTGCTTTCAAAAATAAGGATAAAGTGGCTCATTTGCATCACATTCTTCCTGCTGCTTTGCTGCAAAATATCTGAAATATACTTTTTTTTTTATTGTTACAACTGCTGGCATTCATTGACTTTTAGATATTCCTAATATATTTTCTTAATTCTGCTTGTTTGTCTAATTTGACGTTTGCTGCTTGATTGAAAGACGTCTTGATCTCAGTGGGTTTTTATCTGGTTAAATCAAGTTTGAATGATAATAATATATAATAATAATAATAATAATAACTTCTTTCTGCTTCTTTTCCTCCTTCTCTTTAAATCAAAAACACAACATTCAGTCATTTGTCTCTGGGCAGTTTCCTGCATTCAGGAAAAGTTGCCGGTGTGAGGAGGAAGTGTGTGTTTGAAGAGGCAGCCGCTCAGGATGTCAACACCCCACCGCCAGCTAATGAGGACACACACACACACGCACACACGTACGCACACACACACACACACACACACACACACACACACACACACACACACACACACACACACACACACACGTACGCACACACACACACACACACACACACACACACACACACACACACACACACGCGCGCATTCTGATATGGCAGGAATGCAGTAGCTGTCACCGGTTTGTGCGACTCGTTGCGGCGGCAGCAGGCCTGGTTCGGGTGAGCAGCCCACCGGCATGCTGGGTAATCTCAGATTAGAGGCGTTTCTCACGCTGGTCCATATGGTGAAGACATTGTCTCTGCCGTTCTGCAGGCGGAGGAAGGTGACATTCGGTGTGACCTGCGCTAAGTGACAGGAACCCGGGCCATACTTTCACCGCGGCTTCTCCCTTTTCCTGTTATTCCTCAACTCCTGTTATGTTGTTTGGCTTGGAGCTGCGCCAGCGTAGCGGGCAAATCGACAGCCCACTATTTTTACATCCGTCTTTAAGGACCCCGTCTGCCGGCTCTGCCTGCCAATTTGCCCCATCAGCAGTGGCAACAAAGGAGAGCTCTCAAGGCAGCGAGCCTTTCATTTCTCTGCTGCCGGTGTGACTAATGTTGTCACTGCTATGTGAAAAAGCACTCAGCCTGGATTGCTATTATTATTGTTAAAACCATCATCATCATCATCAGGCTTGTTTATGGTTATGGATAATGATGGTAATTTTGTCCAGGCCTTGCAGTTGACTCTTTCTCCCAACATGCACTGCTGTGTGCGTTTTTAGGCGGGGAAATTACTGAAGTTGTTGTTGAGGGGAAAATGGTTTTTCTATCAGGTAGCACAGCCGCAACGGGAGGAATGGAGAACTTTGGTTCCATCTCCGGCAGTGGCGCTGCGAGGGGGTGGGGGGGCCGTGGAGGACACCCACATGTAATTTACAAGCCTTGCATGTTATATAACATTTTTAATGCATGAATGTAGAGAAAAGGATAAGTCTGGATAAATTGGAACATTGAGTTTTATATATAAAAAAAAACTAGATGCACCAATTTGACGTTTTATGGCCACTACTAATAAAACATTTTCTTAGTTTTTTAAGATTTCCTTGCTTTAAAAATTGGCCCAGTTACCTCAGATTTACTCCACAAGAATTAGACGTATCTGATTTTAATAAACTCTGAGTATAAAATTAAAGGTAGAAACGAACAAAATGCACCTGGCAAAAATATTTATACATACATCTGGAAATGTATGTATGAATACATGCATACATGTTTGACTGGGAAACAAATGCACTAATTTTGACTTATTATTTAGATTTTTATGCCTTAAAATGTTTCTGTTTCTTCATACAAAAGTCATGAGCCGGACCTTTGGATTCATGTGTTTCTGGTGCGCCCAAATCTCTGATGCACAAGATTTCTTATTATTATCGTTTACAGATGAGACTTTAACTCATTAATTTCAGTTATTTAATTGATTCCATAAGTTTTTTTTTTTTTTACATACAAAAGTTCCAGATGGAACTTTTTGAATTGCA